TTCATTTATATAAATGTTAGATCCTTTAAGCTTCTTTGCTTGTTGCAGTATGTGTGCCTTATCTTTCTCTTTCATCAACTTTACCATCACCGCCCTCGGCCCCCGCTCAGAAGGTTTCCCGACTCTGTGAGCTCGCTCCATCTCAATTTCTTGATGAATTTGCAGTTTATCCTTTAATATTTCCTTCACCTTACATTCTGCTTCCGTCCAGCTTTCTCCAGCTGACTCCTTGATTCCCTCAAAGATCAGGTTTTTTCCACTTTGACTGTACTTCCAAATGCTCCATTTTATCCGTTATAGCTATTAAACTCTCACAGGTTTTGTAGACATCATCCCTTGTTTCCTTGGTTTGTATTTTCTGTTCACCCATGGCTGCTTTAATCACATCCACATCTCGCTGGGTAAACTGCAAACTCGTTTTTATCTCCTGTATTTCTCTGGTCATGTCGTCGAGTCTCTTGTTATTTGTCTCCATAAGTAGTTGCACAAAACCTTTGAAGTTGTCTTGTTGTTGGCTCAACAGTGCGGTGTACATCTGCTTCTGCTGACTCAACATCTCTGTTACTTGCGCCGCTGAAATATAATCCTCTTCTGCTTCAACATCCTCATTCGCTTCTGATTTATTAGCTCTTTTCCCTCTTGGAGGCATTTTAATAGTTGTAGAATTTGTTCAAAGACTTGAAAATGTAGAAGATGTGAAAAATCGTAGAACAGACAAGAGGAGCAGTAAAGACGTCTGCTCTCGCTTGCAACCCCAAAAGTAAGTTTCAGCTTTTCAGAATTTTAATCAGTGGCCAGGCCATAAGACCATTTTCTACATATGTAGGATAAGGATAATCAAAGATAATCACCTTTATTTGGCCAAGTATGTTACACAAGGAATTTGTTTCCAGTACAGAACCGAGGCAGCCATTTGTGGTGCCAACTCAACCAACCAACAGGGGCAACTTGGGGGTTCAGTGTCTTGCCCAAGGACATTTCGATATGTGGACTGCAGGCATCGACATTCGAACCTCCGGTTGGGAGACGGCTGCTCCCACTGAACCACAGTCACAAAGGCTAGGCTAGTTCTATCTCTGCCACAGTATTTTAAAAAGAGCTGTTCTTTTTAAAGTGATCCATTTTTATAATACAACCTGTATTGAACAAAATAACAATAATAAAACATTAAGACCGCTTATATTCTGACTGACTCCTCGTGGTCTCAAATGTACAAATACGTTATCCAGGATTTATCCAGCAGAGGTCGCCATTTTTGACTATATTAAAACTGAATAATTTTCAACGCACTGATTCAGTGCTTCAGAAAACCTTGTTTTATTCAACTTATGGTTCCCACACGCTACAGACTCGCGTTTGAGAAAAAGAACGGATATATTCTTTGTCCCTTGCAGAGCAGAAATATACTCTGAAGAGTCTAAGCTGCTAAAAAATCTTTGTGAAGGCGGCGGTCTGCCTACCTGGCAGACTTGACGCGGGGCCCGAGGTCCACTGATTAAAGAGAACACATCGCGAGATTTCAGTGATAGCAAACGTGTGATCTAGCTTGCTGTGTCAACCCTTATAATGCATCTATGTGTCAGCCACGGGAGTGACACTGGCCGTGGTGATCCGCATATTGTACAGCTGCAAACGTTTCTCTGATATTCTACCAATAACAGGAAAATCAAGAGCTAGCCACCCTCAGAGAGACACTGCCTGTAGGATTGAAACTTCCTCACTTCCCCTCGGACTGTCCACGGCTCTCGTCCTTAAATCGGCCAGGTTAGTGTTACATCCGTCAGTTCAGATAGATGTCTTTGGGTTAGCTAGTCAGGCTTACTCAAGCTAGCCGCAGTCACGGGAGGTGTCAGTAGTATCGCCAGCTATAGTCAATATGTGAAATATGCAGTGATATGTTCAGCATTGCAGTTATGAAGAAGTGATAACAAGTTTACAGCAAACATGTAACTTAAAATGCCCAAACTGACAAGTCTTTCGTAGCTACTTGCTGAGCTAACGTTGTAGCCTGCCTAGCTAGTGCTAATCGTCACCACCAGTAATATTGACGTTAAACTAATACATATGCTAGGCAACATTAGCAAACCAACCAGGAGAACATGGATTGTTTGCTATAATTCAAATCGTGTTAGTAGCTCACGTGTACCTGACAGTCACAAGAAATTGTTCAGATACACAGTTCTAATGCATCAATGAGATGTTTTATATTGCATTTGATGTGTATGATGTTAAGAGTTCGCTGATTGACATATCGGCAAATACCTTTGGTAACGTTACTCCATGATAACGTGTCAAAGCTGTCAGGCAGACTGAGCACTCGTTTGGTAGGTGTACACTCCTGACTGAATCAGCCACACTTTCAATAACAAGTGTGGTTTTCAAGGCAGAGTCTGGACCTTTCGGTGCCTGTGGCAGGACCTCCGCTGGCCCCTGAAGGGGATAATCTTTTAATCAATAACACATTCTAGTCTATTGTGTCAGTGACATGTTTACATGTATTATCAGGTCTCAAAAACTAAATTGAATTTCTTTTCCTGTAAAAGGTCTTAGAGGATATTAAAATGTCGTTTCATTCACAAAAGTCTAAAATCTTTACCTGTCATATATAGTAAATAAAAAAAGGAAGGAAGGAAGGAAATGAAAGCGATTCAGCAGTCAGTCCTAGCACCACAGCTGCTGGCTCCACTAGATGGGACGCTCACTGTCTTGTAATGGGCAATTTGAGCTAAAGCTTAAATTTAATGATCTTTAACATCTCTGATTGGTTGTCCTGCCATCAATTTACTGTCACATGTCCAGGCACTATCTGGTTTAATCTCATTGATGAGATTATTAGGAATTGTTGTTAGATGCTGCTGTTAAATATTAAAGAAAATCATATAATACAGCAAGTAATTCTAGCCTAAGAAGTCAGTGCTGGTTTACAAGCATTAAATTGAATTCTATGTGGTTTTATAAAGGTATTAAGTTTAACTTGGTAAATGCTGCCGAAGCCCTGCACATCCCTATTAAAATACCTTCTTTCTTTTTTTTTTAAAACTCAGACTAGACTCTTCTCATTCATGCTTGCTGTCACATCATTAACTCAGTCTGCTCTTTGCCTTTGATTCGTTTGTTTGTTCTTTACGTCAGTCATCCACAACGCTGTGCAGTCAGAGCTGGATTAGGCTTTTTTGAGAGCGGCCAATATCTGCTTTTATAGCTGCTACTTAAAATGTCTGGATTTACTTTGAAGAGGTAAATAGTTGGCAAACCTACTTGAGCAGAAAATACACAGCAATAACAAGCTTAGCTGGTTATTATGAACTGCTTTCATATTATTGAGGTGTTTCACTTTTACAATAATTTAAATGTTACTATAATACAAAATACAATTGTATATTGCTACATTTTCACAAGAGGTTTGTAATATTGGTTTCTTCTTCCTAGGTCTCATCCAATCACTCGGTGGACCATCAGCCCCTCTGTCAGGACCGTGGCAGAGCCCGAGCCATCAGGGACCAGAGCATCAGGCAGCAAGGCTCCATGAGCATGACAGGGCAGCAGCAAACAGGAGGCCTGCATTCTCGCCGGGGCCTTGTCCGGGAAAAAGACCCTGGGCAGGGAATGGGCATGGAGGCGGCCTGCTGGCTGGCCCCTGGAGTGCTGCGCAGGCTGATCGAGCTACCTTCACCCCCTCTGTCTCGACACCAGCTCAAGAGACTGGAGGAGCACAGGTATCGCTGACACCTCCTCTAAAACTTCACCTGATGTGGTAGTTGTTGAATGCTTTGTAAATTTGTACAGTGTTATCAAAACAAGCACATTAGCTTTAGATGCTAACACATCCAGATGGAAGAACGAAACATCTGAATCAAATCCGAGTCCTTTGGCTGCTTTTAACCCTCTCCATATTCAAATAGACAAACTGATGTTAATCCTTCTCTGTCCCTCTGTCTCTGTGCCTCTTCACTCTGGCAGCCACTGTTTCAGACTTTTAGCTACCGAGAGCTCGTCCATGAAACAACTACTACAGGCCATACATTGACAGCACATGAAAGACAAACTGGAATAACAACAGAAGGGCTGTAGGCAGCAGAATGTCATGGAGGGGGGGGAAATAGCTGAGAGAAACCACATCCTGTCCTGGTTTCACTGGATTTATCAGACATTGTGGAAAGTCTTAGTTAGTGCATCCAATAATTGGCACCCAGCTGTGGTCATGGTGATGATATTATATCATTGTCAGCATTATTTCTTCCTGGGTGGCAGGTAAATCTCCAGGTTAAATTCATCATGTCCTCACCTGGTTGTCGACCATCCCTGCAGGTACAGCAGTGCTGGACGCTCTTTGCTTGAGCCTCTGATGCAGCGTTACTGGGAATGGTTGGTGGGACGAGTTCCTTCCTGGATTGCACCCAACCTCATCACCATCATCGGCCTGGTTACTAATGTCTTCACCACGCTCATCCTTGTCTACTACTGCCCAACCGCCACTGAGCAGGCTAGTCATTGTTGGTTTTTGAAACAGCGTTATACTGGACAGTCTCACTTTACAACATGTTTAACAGCCTAGAATTCACATTAGCACTAATGTTTTTACTAGCTTCTTTTGGAGAGAGATTCCACTATAATGGGGTCAAGCTGGCCCTTCGTTATTGCGACTTTACCTATGTACGTGTACTGAACTAAAAATGGCAGGTATCACAACACCCCTGTGTTCTTTTTACACAGGTCCTGGCATAACCATGCAATAACACATACCCACATGCTGGTAATGTAGCTTTTAAATGAACAGTGGTGGATGAACAGAGTAGGGATGTGCTTTTGATCGTCCTGCACGATTCAGACTCAAAGTTGCAACATGTTAATGATTATGGTCATGGATTATATTTCTTGTGAGCAATGTTAAAATTTAAACCCCTGGAAACAACACTTCATCAAAACTCCACACACCTCCGCCCACGACCCCCAGACTGTCTCTTGCTTTTTACAAAGAGGTTGCACCAGTTTTACTGCCTCTTGTGGCAGAATAAAGGAGGGTCAACACTGACCAATGAGTATACTGCTACGGTCTGTAAAACTCAACATCCTGCAGATGTTTCACAGATGATGCTTTTTGTTTTAAACAAACAGCCAGACACTTCCTATTTGCAGCATCACAGATGTAAAACTTGATGTGGTACACGTTGGCAGACTGGGCTTGGGTTTTTTGGTCAGACAATGATCTGATGATTTAGAAACACAATAATCATCATATTAATAGATAATGAAAATAATAATTGGCTGCATCCGTAGATGCACCATATGTCAATCAACGACTTGTGGGAGAACAACCTCTGACATAGTGATGACACATCAGGTTTTTCACATACAGTACGTGGACTGTGAATATGTGTATGGGTGTGTACTGCTCTGAAGCTGGAGCTGTGTGTTTGTTTGAGCGTGACCCCTGCTCCCTGTGAATGTGTGTGATGTTCTAGGCTCCTCTCTGGGCGTACCTGTTGTGTGCAGTGGGTCTGTTTGTCTACCAGTCATTGGACGCCATCGACGGGAAGCAGGCAAGACGTACCAATAGCAGCTCTCCACTGGGTGAACTGTTTGACCATGGCTGTGACTCCCTCTCCACTGGTTAGTTTGTTTCCTGCTTGACTCCGCTGTGCCTCGGTGAGCGTGAAGCTCTCTTATCACCGCCTGTGTTGTTTTGTGTTTTCTTTGCAGTGTTTGTGATGTTGGGAACCACTATAGCAGTCCAAATGGGAACTCACCCAGACTGGATGTTCTTTTGTTGCTTCGCCGGGATGTTTATGTTCTACTGTGCCCACTGGCAAACATACGTGTCAGGAACGCTGCGGTTTGGCATGTGAGTCGACATATCCGCTCCCCTTCCTTTGTTCATTTCCTTTATGCCAAAAGTTAAAGAAATTTTTTTTAAGATTTAAAAAAAACAAAACTAAATGTACCTAAAAGCTTAATGGTGATTGACTGAAAAACCAACGAACCATAGCTAATATTTTCTTTTTATTTGGCTGGCCTTCATGTGTTTGTGCCACTCGGTTTCTTTATGGTGCATAAATATTGTATTTGTATAACATTCAAAAAGTCAGACAAGTTCAGTGACACCTGCAAGTCCAGCAAAATGCACTGGAAGTCTGAAGACAGTGGAGCTGAATGGGTGTTTATCACACATACAGGATAAAGTTTGAAACATATCCAGTGGACATGAACATCTTGCAGATGGTTTCATGTCCCTGAACACTCACTGAATAACAAAACATTGACATTATACAGTTATAAAAAAAAGTCATCTACTTTAGAGTTAATCCTCACATTAGGTTATAGATGTTACCTGTGTGGTTGAGCTGGAGTAAATATGGATGTGTTCCGTGTGTAGATTTGACATAACCGAAGTTCAGATCTGTCTAGCAGGATTGCAGATGCTTACAGCCACTGTGGGTCCCTGCCTGTGGAACGTGATGGTAAATCTCCTGGTTGCTGCTGCATGGCTCGCTGCCGTCTGCCTCCACAATGACTGCTGACCTCTGTGGAGTCACAAGGAGAATTTAAATTCAGACTTCTCTGCATAAAGAAGCAGTCAGTAAAATGTGGCTCTTCAGTGACAGCAGCTAGAGGAAACAGTGACCTCTAACAAATATACCAGTGTTTTTATTTTTATTTGCTTTATATTAAATTGACCAGTTGTACACATCAGTGTTTCCCATACATTGATTTATTTGTGGCAGGCTGCCACAGTATCAGCATTGACCACCACATATTGATTTAAAATAGGTTAAATCTAATCTAGTGTAGTTCTGTGTGTAGTGCATGTATTTGTTCAGCCCCTTTATGCCCCTCTCTATTTCTATCTCTTACCCACGCAAACACATACAACCATGACGACAGACCATCTGTGAACAGCTCCTCTGCTCCCTGTCAATCGCGGAGATCCAACTTTTCTAATATGTTATGAGCAAGCTAGTAAGGCTAGCTAAGCTAACGTTAGAATACAGCTGTTGCTGAGGTCAGTGCGCTGTATATAGTCTGGATGTATACGAACTGATCTGCAAGTGGATAAAGTTAACGCCAGTTCATAAACTCTGACGCTGAATGTTTGCCCACGTGGGGAAAGCTGGTCAGTCCGATCAGTGTGGTTAGCGATCCAGTTGATTCATTTCTAATATTTATTGGTTTTAACCAGTGCTGCTGAAGTAGGAAGAGAGGATCAGCAAGAGAGAGTTGAAGAGAGCAATGTAGGAGGACATGCTGCTGCTGTGAGAGAGCTAGTGCAGAAAGGACGGGTCAGATGAACAGCGCTATAGCATTACTATATATATATATGAAAAAAGAGCGCGGGTTATATACTGCAACAGTTTTTAACAACCATTAACACTTGTCTCTTTGCTGAAGAAGCTGGTGTCATTTTACTGATTGCATCTTTACTGTAACCACTTTCCTGTTGAAACTTCCAATTTAAACCTGTGTTGTGGAAGAAGGCTGCAGGATGACTGTGTGCTGGTAGAAGTCTAATCCCCACTGTAAACTCTCTGCTTTCTCCTCCCACCTAGCATTGATGTGACTGAGGTGCAAATCTTCATAATAATCATATATTTGCTGGCCGCCGTGGGAGGATCTGCTTTATGGCAGTCGCTGGTAATTGTGATTGGTTCTAATTCCTGCAGATTGAAATGATTGAGAATGATGCCATAATTGTGTAACTGTTTATGTTGGTACCTGTGATATAATTGTGATGCTGCTTCTTGTTTTGACTGTTTTACTGTAATTGAATGCTGCTTTTACTCTACTCATGAGAATGTAAAGGTGAGACTACTTAAAAAAAACAAAAAACGGCTGAATCGGTGTCTGATTAACGCATAGCATGACATCAGTGTCTGGGTGTCTTTTAATCTTAGTGCTTTCATATCTCATTTCCCAGATTCCGATCCTAAATATCCAGATGAAAATGATTCCTGGCATCTGCACTTTATTAGGAGCCATTTTCTCCTGCACCAATTATTTCAGAGTTATTTTTACAGGAGGTGTGGGCAAAAATGGATCCACAATAGCAGTAAGTTTGGAAACTTCAGACTTTTTCTGATAAGTATGTGATGACGCGGTCTGATTTTTCACAGGGTGGATTCTGTTTTATCACCCATCAGTCAATACAGACAGGTTTCTGAGGAACATCAGTGTAAGATGTGTGTTATTTTATGCTTTAACTGCATAAATCACAAAAGTAAAGAGTGGGAACAGTGGGTGCATGTATACATTGCAGTCATCTAATATGGCAGAACAAGTACATTTATTGAAAATGACTCATCAGTTTATCGTTATCCTAGGAATAATTTTTCAGAATTATTACTGAGATAGTTCTATTGCCCTGTGCTGTATCAGAGCAGCTCTACTGTACGTTTCTGCCTACATCCAGCTTCTGTTGTGTCTTTGTTGTCTCTGTCCTCAGGGAACCAGCGTTCTCTCTCCAGTCTTACATATTGGTTCAGTTATAATTTTGGCGATGATGATATACAAGAAGTCTGCTGTCCAGCTCTTTGAGAAACATCCGTGTCTTTATATCCTGGCATTTGGCTTCGTCTCAGCGAAAATCACCAATAAATTAGTTGTAAGTCCAACGTACGTTTTATAAGAGGGACGTCAAACAAAATGCTGTGGTTGTAGACACAACAGTCATAGGTAACGGAGGACTTCCCAGACTCAAACCATCACAGACCTATTTAAAACCCACCACAAAAACATTTTCATAAAAAAAATAAACAAGATTGGATCTGAAGCAGATTCCACAACTTTGACAAAAACTTGTAAACTTGATACCAACAGGGTGTAATAGCAGTTTTAACTTTGGATAAACTCATAACCCTTTCTTACATTATATAATAAGAGTTGTTGGTAGAGGATTCATGGATCATCGCCATAGGAAGTATGAGGCTGTTGATGGGGTTAGCATCTAGCTGGTGGAACAGTTTGGCAAAAAATGACACAGTTTGTTCGTTCTAGTTTTATCTGTTCCCTTTTGAACCGTTTGTATCTGAGTTTGCAGCCTGAACTCAATAATTGACTTCCTCTTTTTACATGAGTTTGAGTTGAGTTGTCTGGGTGAGCTCAGATAGGACAACACACCAATAAAACCATCATTTTAGAAACATTACAGTACACGTAATACCATAAATACACAACGTAAATGACAAATATAAAGTTTTCAAACATTCTTAGGGCATGTACTTTTGTACTGCTTCCATTTCACCAGTAGATGGGCTACAAAATCATAGTGGGACAGAAAACTACCACAGTTTAAATAACTTCTGTGTAAAAGTTTAACTTTATTTTCTAATTTCCACTTCAAGGTTAGCAAAGATTGTATTGCAGTTTAAACTGTGTGTGTGTGGTTTTTCCTCTGTCCAATCGTAGCACACATGACAAAAAGTGAGATGTATCTCCATGATTTAGCCTTCCTGGGACCAGGACTGCTGTTCCTGGATCAGTATTTCAATAGTTTTATTGATGAGTACCTGGTACTGTGGCTTGCGTTGGTAAGTACACACATGATTCTAGCAACAGATAAATGCACTTGGTAAAGGTCATATAATATTGTGGGCTTCCACACTGGTTTTGTGCACAGAAGGAGTCACAGTGTTTCTTTCTTTCCCACAGATCATTTCCTTGTTTGACTTGGTTCGTTACTGTGTCAGTGTTTGCAACCAGATTGCCAGCCATCTTCACATTTCTGTTTTCAAAATCAAGCCTTGTGCAGTGCTCAGTTCAGCTCCTCACTGAGGACACGCCAGCCGTTACTGACTCTGTCCCTTCCTGTTACTCGCACTCATCTATTCTTCCCTCTGTTTTCCACGTAGAGATACAAGGGATGACGTGGTGTAAACTTTGTGCTTCTGCCAACTGAATGTGAGGACAAATATATTAAGATAGTGGAGTATTCCTGTCACTTTTCACCAGTGCAGAATTGAACTTGTATCAGTTTCATCTAACAAGAATTCTCCTTCTGACAAACGTCTGGTTGCACAGATAGTACAAGTATTTCATTTCAAACAGATATTTCAGGAGAGTCCAGGTGCTACTCGTTATGTTCAAGGAGAGAAAGTTCAGTGTGTTTTAACTGTTTGTGTGAAAGAAAATGTAGAGGAAATGAATCAGACGTTGCTTTTCATGATTATGGTTTTTGTAATTTTGCATAATGTTGCTTTTTGCTATTTTACATACCAGACTGTTATAGTGTCTGTGCTTCTAAGTTAAAACTCCTGCTTTGACACATTTTACAAATCTTTCTTCATGTGTATGATTTTTACTTAATCTCCTGCACATTGCTCAAAATGTTGCAACTGTTTTACATCAGCATAATGTCTTTTTGAAGGAAGCTTGGAGTCTATTACGTTTTTCCATACATGTCAGTACAAACCTGCAAAATATTCACGGCCAGTGTTTTTCATTTGTTTTCCAACTGAAAGCACCTGATTAAAGGTCCACATTAGATTTTTGGACACTATTGAAGCTCAGGGAGCGATTTTGCTTTCTGTTGGCCGCGTTTCAGATCACTCCGCCGGCCGTCACTCTGGTTTTTGTCTGTCCTCATCCTTCGTCTTCACCTGGTATTATATTTTACATTTTCGTTATTCTCAGGTTCCATGAATCAGTGATCAGATCC